AGACCAGCCACCACCATCGTTCCTCCTCTGGTGGCCTTGCAGGCGGGCATGGAAGCAGAGCTTCCTCGGGTGCCCAGGAGCTGCCTCTCCCCTTCTTGGAGGAATCTGAGGAGTTACTGGTTCCAGAGGATCCAGAAACCTCCCAATCCTTGGAACCGGTAACAGCAGGGCAGACTCCACAGCCACCCCCACCCCTGTCCCCAGAGTCATCTCCTCCATTCCCCTAGACAAGTTCCACTGGCACACAGTCTACACAGGCCAGTAGCAGGCAGGGGCAGGCAGTGGGCCATCATAGTGCCAAACAGGGCAGAGAGTCTCTAAGGGATCATTTCACTGCGGTGAACAATGATCAATGGCTGGTGCGCTGTAATGCCTGCCTTGTGGTTGTCTGAAGAGGGTCAGACCCCAGGCATCTGTCCTCCACCACCCTCTGCCAACACCTAGGGAGGCACCATCCAAGGCTCCTGACTGGGGAAGGATGTTTGTCACCACCATCTGTGGGGAGGAAGACAGAAGCCCCAGGGGAAGATTTGGGGAGTCAGAAGGAGGCCTTCTTCCAAAGGACAGCCACGGGTTGCTGGGGCTGTGAGTCTGAGGCAGGCCACGATCCACAAAGTTGTGCCCATTGGGTATGCACTGACTCTCAGCCAGCAGTCTAACAGCAAGGCACAGGAGGTGGCCATTCATGTTGCTGCTGAGATGCTCAGGTTTCCACTATCCACTGTGGAAGCCCCAGCCTTCCGCTAGTTGCTGCATTTTTTTGCCCCTGGTACATCCCACTGAAACTCCGTGGGGGAAGTGGCCCGTGAACAGCTTTCATGGGTACAAGGTTGGAAGGTGTATTTCATGGTGGACCTGTGGAGTGAAGGTCACTACAGGTACTCCTCGTTCATGGCACACTGGTGGCAGCTGGAGGACCTGAGGAGAGGCTCAGGCAATGAGGAGGAACCAAAGAGTTCCTGGACGTGCAGCAGCAGTGAATGTTGAATGTGGTGGGCTTCGAGGGCAGAGTGTACATGGTGCACAAGTTACATCTTGCTGTGAGAGATGCCATTGGCCTGGGGAGCCACATCAAACCTGAATGGGCTGCAGGCACCTGGGAGACACGAACACTCCGGGAGCAATGCTGCCAACTGGTGGGCCGTTTCTCACACAGTCTGAAAGCTGCCTGCCAGCTGCATGAGGGACAGGAGGAGTTGGGGCAGGAGACACATGTTCTCCTGACAAACCTGCCAATGAGGTGGAACTCCACCCTAAGTAAAGACAAAACGATTCATTGATTTGTCAAAAAATCATAAATTCGTGATTTTTGATTTGTCAAACTTGATGAATAACGATGAATTGGCACTTTTTTCGGTACGTGCCCATCTCTAGTATACATACATTCCTCCATCATACTGAGGCAGAATTCGGTACAGCATACACTCACAAGGTATGTGTATAGCTAGAAGATACTGTACAGTAAGCGCTACACGCCGTTTCATACATCATAGCTCATTCTTCTCCCCAGAAAATCGAAATCTTGGGTTGGTTATCTGATAAATAACTGAAGCTCTTCCCTTTCAAGCAGCTTCTTCAGCAGAACAGTCAATGCCTGCATATGTGAATTTCTCATACAGCGTTGTATTTACGTAAGTCTGGAAGGACAATCAAGAAAAATAAACTTAATATATTTTAGCTAATTGTTTAATATATTTTAACTCATTGTTCTTCTGGAATTAAGATATTTGTTCTTTTATCTCCAGTATAACAGGCAGCCATACATTTCATTGAACTTTTGCCTTCTCTAAAACACATATCATCATCATCTTAGAACTGTAGAGCTGGACGGGACCCTAGGGATCATCAAGTCCAGCCCCAGTCAAGAGGCACAGTGGGGAACTGAACTTCCAATGTCTTCCCAGTCAAATGCCTAAACTACTGAGCTATCCAGCTGTTCACTGACACGTCATTTATAGGCTGATATTGGAAGCAATTCTTAAAATGTGTCGCATTTCACACATGTACCCAAAGAACCACATGATTCATCACTATTGCAGTGAAACAGCTTCCCATTGTGACAAAATGGACATTGGAGAGATTTCCGTATATGCCACAGATCCTAACCTAATTCAGCCCACCCATGTGATGAGGAACATCCATTTTTTCTTCTCATAAGGCGCAGGGCAATGGTTTTCCGTGGCAACCATGGTGAATCATGAGTTGGAGTTAAGCCATGCTCATTTGAAACCCAGCCGACAATGGCTGTCGTCCTTACCTTTCTTTCTTCCAACATCCTGTTCAAGGATACAAGTATCTGGGCAAACGATGGTCTCTCGTATGGCTTTTCTCTCCAGCATTGTCTCATTAGATCAAAACTAAGGAAGGAAATACCAGTCATATCACTATATTGACAAATGCACCGTAAGTAGCCTTAAGCTGTAAGGCTGCATTGTTCAGCAAGTTGCAATAACCTCTTAGATCACCTCATGAAAGCCAAACCTGCAAGAGTGCAAAGCCCCTATAATTCCTTTGTTGGTCATGCTTTCTACCACCTCTGAATTTGAAACGCAAACACCTAATGGGAAATGACATGGCACACACACACACACACCACTGACATTGAACTGTAATATAATGTTATATTTCAAATACATATATCCTTTCTGGGTCACAAAACATCTTCCTTTCCAATGCAAACATGCCTGGTGGTAGGCGCAACATATCAGTGGCTGTTTTCTTTAAGCCCAGCTGAATGGAAAATGTTCTTCCATTCATTTCAACTGAGCTTAACGGAAAACTCTACTGGCTATTTTATGCCTTCCATCAGTTATGTTTGTATTTGAAGGGGCAGGATCATTCTTAACCTAATGGGAACATTTTCAGAAAACCAAATTGTTTGTCTTCTTAGCAATAGCTTTCATAAAACTGATGGAAGAAATTATGCTTTCTGCTGTTACAAAAACCATTGTACAATTTCTCTTTGGATTGTTGAAAAACACTTGTCTCCTTCCAATCCAAGTCTAGTTTCTTCTCTCAGACATCTTCTCTTTCTCTCAACTAAACTGCTCCCTCTTATTATTTACTTATTATTTATTCTTTCGCTTTGATATTTCACACCTGCTGTAGTGCCACAGCATTACTCTGGGTAGTTCAAATAAATTAGATAAATAGTTAAAATGATAAAACCATGACATCTAACCATTTAGAAACAGAGGGCACCAGAGCATTAATAAAATGTGTAAGAGCCAAAAATAACAGAGATACAAACAGCAAATAACTGAACAGAGATGTAAAAGTAACTCAACTTGACTAGGGTCAGAGTGGAAGGCCTCCCTAAAGAACTGTGTCTTTAGTAGCCACTTAAAAGTCTCCAGGAAGGAGTCCAGGCAAAGTTCCTCCAGGAGCTGAATCCACAAAGATGGAGACCCTGTGAGGAAGGCCCTACCTCTCGTAGAAGATTCGTGGGCCTCCCTTGGGGTCCCTACTCAGAGGAGCCTTGTCTGCAGTGACCTGGTGGGTCAGCCACTTGACATTGGGGCAAGATGCTCCAACAAGTCTTAGAGATAATTAATGCGAAAGTGCCACCTCCCCAAAGAGAGCAGCACTGAACGTTGCAAGGACTGAGTTAGGGTGTGATCAAACAGAAGAGCAGTTCACATTTTGGATCACTTGTGACATGATCCAGTGTGAGCTGTTTTACATGGCACACAGGAGATCGTGAACCAGCTGAAGCCTGATCCTTTTTTGGTCCAGTGGCAGGGCTACTGCTTTTTGGGGCTGGGCTGGAGTGATTCATTTTGGGATGGAAGGGTCACTTTAAGGGCTAACTCTCCCAGAGAAGCAACCATTATCATCATAACCTTTATTGGCATAAAAATGTACAGCATACAGCAGTCTTCAAATAAATAGGGGATATATACCCCATATGAAAGAAATCAAAATGCCCCAATGCAAACAGAATATATCAATCCATAGTTAGTTTCAAGGTAACACCTAGCCATTGTTCATAATCTGTAACTTATACAGAAAGGAATAATTAATTGTATCCAATAAGATTAGACAGGTGGGTTTGTTGAAAACTGAGTTCTACGCAGCTGAATTAATAAACTAATACATTTGGCCATCTGTCCGGTGTAGGTTTTATTCACACCGAGCAGATGATCGCCTCCTCCTGTCCGGTAAAACTAATAAGGATCGATTCCAGGTTTGACAAGCGAATGTCATTGTACATCATGGCACAGCAGAGAAGCATGTGCTCCAGGGACTCTATGGACCTGGAGTTGCAAGGGCAGAGCCATGTTCTCAGAGGTTGCAAATTAAATCTACCATATAAGACGTTGGATGAAAGTACATTACATCTAGGCTGCCGTTCATGTGGGCTCTCTAAGAGATGTAATTAACAGGCTGATTTATTGATATATAAATGGCAATAGTAGATTTAAAGGTTGAGCATACTTTGCGGGCTGCAAAGAGTTCTCCTTGATATCCAGGAATCTCTCTTTGAGCAGTCTATAAAACTGAGCCGAAGGTAGAGCACCCGGATGGTCTAGGGAGATACCCACGGTCTGTGCCTTTTGTATGAACAGTCCGAAACTGGAAGAATGTAAAGGCACCCCTAATTAAGGGGTCCCTGGTGTCCACAAAGCATCTTCTCAGCCAGTATTTAAAGTGTCTCGGCCACGCTTGTGTCCCCAATCTGATGAGCTTGCCTCCAGGCATAGAGCTGCATATGGCACCCAATGGGCCACAGCAAATATACAGTATTATAGAGGAAAGTGGCCTGGAGTCTTTCCACTGTGGAGTTAAAGACAACCAGCCAGATTGGTGAGCCATACAGCAGTTGGGAGACGGCCTTGGCTTTGAACACCCGCAGGGCAGCAGGAATAAGTGCATTGCCCCATCCATGAAAGAAACAAAGTACTGCTTGAACTCTCCGCTTCACTGAGTTAATAATGGATTGGTGATGTCTAGTCCATGACTTACAATAGTGAAAACTGAGCCCTAGGTATTTAAATTCTTTTACCTGCTGGATAGCTCTCCCATGGAATATGCAAGATTGAGATTTCCAGCTCTTACTGAATATGACTATTTTAGATTTGCCATACTTGAGAATCAATTTGTTATGGAGAAGATAGCTAGCTCAGTTTTCTATTAGCCATCTAAGGCCAATCTTTGTATGTGATAGTAGTACCATATTGTCGGCATATAACAGGATGGGAACTGCCTGGGAACCCAATCTAGGACAATGACTAACAACCTCCGACAAGGAAGGAGCAAGATCATTGATGTATAGGTTAAACAGGGTGGGGGCAAGGATGCAACCCTGTTTAACACCCCTATTAATGTGGACATGTTCAGAGTGGATGGCATGGCTGGATAAATGAATGCAGCATATGTTATCTGTAGTTGTCTGGAGATTTCCTGTCACCCTTTTTATATATGGGAAGGATTATGGACTGGGTCCAGGCCTTGAGTATCTACCCACACCTGTCCATAGCTGTAGAAAGCTCAGCCAGGATTGGTACCTACCAATCCGCTCTCTCTTTGAATATAACCGGGGGCCAATCAGATACTCCTGTGAGCATATCAAACTAGGGTTCATTTTTACAGTCATCATAGTAGAGTGACAGGAAGTACTGCTGCCAAGTGAGAGAGGGGATTGGGGATACTGATGGTATTTTAGTCTGAAAAAACCCCAAAACCACTTCCCAGAATTATTTTGTGTTCCTGAGTTTAATAGCATTGGATAACATTTCCCAAGGGGGTGAAGTACAACATTGTGAGTTAAATTTGATTGCCATTGCTAATTGGCGCCTAATGCTAAAATACCGTATTTTCCGTGTATAGAACCCCCCCATGTATTAGATGACCCCAAATTTTGACCCTTGACAGAGGCTGCTCCTCCGCCTCTGCCTCTTGCGGCTGCCCATTGACTGCTGCCGCTGCTCACGTTGCCGCCTTGTCCCCTATCCGAAGGGAGCCTGTGAGTGGTGCTGGAGGAGGTGATTGGGCAGTGGCAGCAGTCAATGCGTAGCTGCAAGAGGCAGCCAAGTGTGGCTGCTCCTTCGCCTCCATCTCCGCCTCCTTCCGTGGAGGCCTCAATTTTTCCTCTATTTTAGGAAAAAGTGTTGTTTTATACATGAAAAAATATGGCACCTGGGAGGAAGATTGTTACAGTTTGATTTTCCGAAAGTCGTTGTAAATGTGGCACAGCTTTTACTTCAGCTTGAAACAATCCATGTTGATCCTCGCCCACTCACTGTTAGCTTGGTTAGTACGGAAAGGGGCAGAGGGACATTCAAGATGAGATATTAAATTATCAACGAGATTCTCGTATCTACTTAGATATGCCTGTGAGATATTGGCAGTAGGATCTATAAAAAAGCTTGTTAACCAACCAATCTCAATACAGTGGTCAAAAAGGATTTTTGTAGCAGAGTCCCATTTCATTGTTGTAATAGGAGATGATGTGGTGTTGGAATGAGGTTCTGATGTGACCATTTCAGAGGGGTCTGTTTGGAAGGCTAGAGTGCACACAAGGGGTAAATGATCATTAAGAGTCAGTGGCTTGACCTTAAAATTAAGCACAAAATGGAGTAATGGGGCATGGATTAGGATGTAATCTATCACACTTGCTCCCCAGATGGGGCAAAACATGGGTGAACTGCCCACCAAACTTCATGTCAGTTAGGCTATTAAGCCAAGCCAAGCCAAGCCTCTTAAAATACTAAAACTAGCAAAAAGTTGCCCTGCATGGCTGATTTGATTATCCTTGGAGAGTCTCAAATAGTGGCAAAAACCCTTCAGAAGGGTCATATACTGACCGAAAGACCTCTAACCCTGACCCAACCCTGGCACTGAAATTCCCTACCACCAGGCATTGGGCTTGGGGAGAGAAGCAACCATTTCCAAGGTGGTCAGACAGAATCAATTCTCACCATCTCATAGAATCATAGAATATTGGAGCTGGAAGGGGCATATAGGGCTATCCTGTCAATGCAGGAATCCAAATCAAAACAGATCTGATAGACGGTTGTCCAATTTTCTCTTGAATGCCTCCACCATTGGAGTGTCCCTTACTTACACCTCGTCATCGCAGTTGAGAGGCTTCTCCAGTCTGTACCCTTGAGGCAATTTCTCATACAGCTCTGCACAAGTCATCCCACAGTATGGTGTTCCACCTGAAACAGAAAATTTATCAATTGCCTTGAGGAAGCCTTTCCACACACACACACACTTTCAGTGCTATAAATAAGAGGTGTGGTATCGGCCTTCTAGAAGGAATAGAACAATTCAGTTAAACCAGGGCAGGTAGGAATCTTGGCCATGTCATCACAACTACCCCATCAAGCCCAGCAGACACATGTAATGGTTTGCCAGTATAGGATAAACCTCCTGATTTTGCTGTTTACCTTGGTATCAAGCATTGAGCTGGCCAAATACAGAGGAGCACCAGCATATGGCTTAAGTCTCATTGGGTTCCAGGGGACTTAGGTAAGTGAGCATGGATTGCAGTTTAATAGTCATCCTATTCAGGCCTTCACAGGAGGTTTAATTTTAATGTGGGAGGAGAGAGAGTGGGTTAGCTCCATACCTGTCGTGAAAAGCAGCAGGTGTGAAAAGGAGATTATGGGTTAGCTCCATACCTGTCGTTGTGAAAAGCAGCAGGTGTGAAAAGGAGATTCTTCATGATATCACAAGGCTTTCCATGTAATCAGAAACTCTGATTTTTAAAAAAGGGTTCCTACTTCTGAGGAGAGCTAAAGTAGCATTCTATTTGCATACCCAGGGAAAAAAAACGTATGGGCGTGTGCAACTTACAGACAAAAGTACAGCACAGTGCAGTACAAGACTGTATAAAGGCAATCTTGGCAGGTCCAGTATCCCTTTCTCTAGATCCACCACTGGAGTGCCTCCTTGCTGTGGCTGCAGCATCAAAGTTTGGTGGCAAACCATACCATCTGTACAGCCAGAGGCTGGGAGTTCAATTCCCACAGTGTGCCTCCTGCAAAGTAGAGCCAGTTTGTGTGGCTTTGGGCAATCCGTACAGTCCCAGGATGCCCCCAGAAAGAAGAGAATGATAAACCACTTCTGAGCATTCGCTGCCTGGAAAACCCTGAAAAGGATTGCTGGAAGACGGAATTGACTTGACAGTGCATAATTATTTTAAATTTTGGTAGGAAACCAGAAACAACTATTAAGCCAAGCAGGAAGTATTTCTTTCAAAAGCTTCTCGGTATTTGAGACCAAACTTGGGCAGCATGCTTTGCCCCTCTGCCCCAAGACCTGAGTGTTCTCTGCTTGGAAGGCATAAGACTGTCACCTCAATTTCTTTGAAAATCCGTCATAAATAAATTCATCAGAAGCAATTAGGTACCATGCCTAATTGGAATGAGGCAGAATAGCAGCTTCCCATTAGTTTCTATGGATGGAAAAGAGCAGATACGGATCAAATGGTTTTCAATGCATTCCTATGGGAAATGCAGATTTGACCTGAGAACCTTTTGACTTGAGAACCGCCTTCCAATACGGATTAAGTTCTCAAGTCAAGACCCCACTGTATTTCTTTCAAAAGCTTCTCGGTATTTGAGACCAAACTTTGGCAGCATGCTTTGCCCCTCTGCCCCAAGACCTGAGTGTTCTCTGCTTGGAAGGCATAAGACCGTCACCTCAATTTCTTTGAAAATCCATCATAAATAAATTCATCAGAAGCAATTAGGTACCATGCCTAATTGGAATGTCCAAGACCCAGGGCAATCTGGAAGGACAGTTATTTTCAAGTTCTGTCTGGGAGGTCTGAGGAATGATGATGGACAAGGTGGACTAATTGATCTTGTCCAGTCATGCTTTTCTTACATTCTTATGCCCCTTCCAGAAATAAACATTACAAAAATAAATACTTACCTAAGCTAACTATTTCCCACAACAGCACACCATATGACCACCTAAAATAAAATAAAAGAAAGCAGATGTTTTTAATACTGATTGTATTTAGAAATATTGTATTTTTTTTAAAAAAAAAGTGCTGTAGAAGTGAGAATTATGCATAAAATTTGGTCTAAATTCTGATTAAAATCTCTCCATGTACCTTTAAAGCACTATTAAACTCACTATCCCATTTCATATGGGGGCGGGGAGAGAAAAAAATGTATACAAAATGACAAATAAAGTATTCCAATTCTTTTTTTAAAATTCAGCTGTAGTTTAATACACAAATTTATTCTACACAGAAACAGAGAGGCTCTCCAAAGCATGAATAGCCTTTATACAAGCCACTAAGCAGCTTTGAGGGGAGGTGGACAGAGCTAAGAGAACAAAAGAGAAAAAAGGTTTAAAGACAAAGGGGAGAAGGCTGGTTTCTGGTAAAAGGCCAAGAGAGTAGGGAAATGTTCAGGAATGTCACTACACTATTCTAAAAAACAGACCAAAATGGCAAAAAAAAAAAAAAGACACACACACACACACACCATCAGTGCACTGTTTAACAATAAGTATTAGGGGAAGAAACACAACACAACACAACCAAACAATGGTATGAAGAGCCTCGTGGTGCAGTGGATAAACTGCCGTACTGGAGCCAAAACTGTGCTCATGACCTGGGGTTCAAATGCCAGGTAGCTGGCTCAAGGTTGACTCAGCCTTCTATCCTTCCGAGGTCAGTAAAATGAGTACCCAGCTCGCTGGCGGGACAATGTGTAGCCTGCATAATTAACTTGTAAACCGCCCAGAGAGTGCTTGAAGCGCTTTGCTTCTGATTTGTTGTCCCTCATGAACGCCTCCAAAACATGCTTCAAATCATGGTGTTTCAAGGCTCTGACTGTTAACATGGTATTGCTGGGACTTGGTAGTATTTTGCGCAAACAAAATTAGAAACAGGAGACATTATAACTCACACGTCACTGTTTGTGGTATACACACTGTAGTTTAGGGACTCAATTGCCATCCATCGCACTGGAAGCCTTCCCTAAAATGATGAGATCAGAATGATTTTACAGCCTCTCACAGCAGCCTGACTTGAACACATGGCCTCTGAGGCTCAACCAGAGAGTTTGGCAAGTTAGAATGGCTTTCCCATTCTTTTCAGTGAAGGGTACCTCCTTGTCGGCACCCCTTTTGGTGAGTAGGTTCACTCTCTCCATTTAAAGTCATGGAGTTTGGGGTGTTATTTTGTTCTGTTTTCTTGCATTCTGGTGCAGATTCTGATTAATTTTTCAATTCTTGAGCTATGCTGAGTGCAACAGACAACTTCATGCATGCTGACAACACCCATGTCAGCAGAATATGATCTACAGCAGTGGACCGGTTTACACAGTGGACTGGTTTAGTGTCCATGAGGTGGGTGCGGTGGGGTGTGTCTGTGCATGTATGTGTGTGGGAATATACCTGTGCATGTGTGTGGGACGTGCGTGCATGGGGGGTGTCCGTGCATGCACGGGGGGCCCTGTGTGCATCCATGCGGGGGTCTCTTCCCACGCCCCAGTCCTACCGGGTCACAGACCAGGGGTTGGGGACCCTTGATCTACAGGATATCCTCTTGTGCTTACTACCATTCACCAAGCAGGGAGAAATCCCAGAACCTAACTCCTTTTTTCTTTTAATCACTCCTCACCTAATCACAAAAGTAATTGTCAGGGCTGTTTTTCCACAAGTTGTGGAAAGTTGGTTACCCAACATTATCTTATTTGATATGGTTATCCAAACTGAACAGGTAAAAACTGGTAATAATGATCTAACTACATTAGCTCAAGTGTGTCCTAAGCAGTCTAACATACCCAAAGCAATGGATTGTAAAGTAGGTTCCACTGCAGACATCACAAGAAATACCATAACCCAATGGACTGATCCCTATGCAAAAAACAGGGTTGCAAATTTATTTTGATCCTTCCTTACCATGGTCTTTTTGACATAAACCTCTTGGCCTCTAGACAGTCCAAAGTCAGCTATCTTTGCAACGTAGTTTTCTCCAACCAAGATGTTTCTTGCTGCCAGGTCACGGTGGATAAACTGAGGAAAAAACAACAACAGTTCTCATTGTGAGCCCTACATGTTAGCCTAATCAGATATTGAGGATGAAGAGCCTGTAAGGAAATTTTCCAAGTTCTGGCCGGCCAGCCATGCTTTCTTTCAGGATATTCGGTGTAAGTTGTTGTGCTTCTTTCCACTATTTTGAAACCCAACAGATCCAAACGCTCATTAAGATTAAGCATCAGAAGCAAACACCAGAGCAGAGGAGCATTAAGGCTCGGCACAAGTTAAGCCCCAGTGCTATCTTACATTCTTTAGTAGATTACTTTATGAAATTGCAGAATTCATGAACAGCTTGTGTCTGTAAAACATCAACTCATGGCTGACCTGTTTTTGGCTTAGGTAGTCCATTCCTCTGGCCACATCAGCTGCAAAGTGCAGGAGCTGCTGGGAGGAGAGCGTGGAAGCAGTGCTGTTGGCAATGGCGAAGGCTGGGTCAGTCTCAAGGACTCGGCTTTTTCGAAGGAAGTCCAGCAGGTTTCCATGGGGGGCATATTCAATGGCAAGGTAGAGATAGCCTGGCACAAAAGCAGATCAACCTGTTCAAGAAGGGCAGCTGATCCAAATGAGGACTCCTGTGGGTAGGGCTGCCTGGAAACATTTATGCGCCCCGTGGCACATCATCTCCCTTCCCCAACCCCCAGATATCCATTCTGTGCCCTATAACTCCAGTTGTTGGGATCTTATGCAAATGCCCCTATCCCTTGATTACTTCTCCCTGCAATGTTTTTTAAGGTCTTGCTTTTATTGTGCAAAGATTACGAGGGGCGACCTCTTCCTATCTTTAGTCCTTTGATGGACCAAAGTGCAACAGCATTAATAATTCCATTGTCTTCTGTGTGCACGAGCCACTTATTACCACTTGGCCCACCTTATGACCCACCACTATTTCCTGATAAGATACTTAGGCTTCAGTGTACTTGTAGTGGGAGGAAGCTCTGTAACAGTGAGGCATTATCTGAGAATACTTCTGGTTACATTCACATTGTACGAACTTGACTCACAGATAGCAACATTAAGAAAGAACAACTGGGACCTTTCAGAGATAATAACAGGAGACAAGGCAATTTTTCTGGCACGTTGAGAGGACTGTGTAGAATTGAGACAGTGCAGATGTCAGAGCACCAGCATCCTGTGCCTCTCGGAGTTTCTGCCTAAGGACTGAAGAGACTACATTTGCACCACTTTTCGAAGGAGAACATCAAACACTCTTTATTTCTAGGTGCAAATAAAAGTGTTGGTTCAAACTCACAAGTTTCTAAATGCTTCAGGGGCAGGATACGTGAAGGCCCACCATGTCTCATATGATTCTGTCCACTATCTATGTTCAAGACCAGAGCCTTGCATCCCAGGGACGTTGGCAAGTCTTTGGGTCTCGATCCCAAGTCTGAATCCAAGTCTTTGGTCTCAAATCCCAAGCCCCAAGTCCTAGTCCCTATTAAAAGCAAGCTTTTTCCCCAGAAGAAAGGAAGGAGTAGGTGAGTTCTGAGTCTCAAGTCAAGTCCAAGTAATTAAAAACAAAAACAAAAAACAAAACAAAACAAAACAACAACAACAACAACAGCAACAAACAAACAAACAAACCCTGGTGCAACTTAAGTCTGACTTGGTAGCAAGTTCTACAACTTGAGTCCCCATCCTTCTCTGTTATAGAGTCGTCTTCAGTGACTTGTATTCAAATCTTTAGGAGAGGTGACAGAATTTATGTGGCATAAGCTTGTATTGTGAGCATCAAACAGAATAGGATAAGCATTTTCGTATAAATGGTTTTTGTGCAATGGGGTGTTTTCATGCAGAAATATCAACCATTGCTATTCCTCAAATATATTTCAAAACAAATTCTACAAGAACAAAGCATCTTACCTCGGTGTTCACATGCTCCCAAAAGGTTTATGATATTCGAATGATGTCCAAGCTTACAAAGTACTTCCAGTTCTCCAGCAAAATCTCTGTGATCGTCCTTGGAAGCATATTCTGCAAGAAAAAGTTTTGGTGTTTTGTTTAATGCATTGATTTCTTCCATAATCAGTTAATCTGACAATATTTATAATGTACATTATGGCTGCAATCCTCAGGAAATGTGTGCTGTGTTGTATTAGTACAAATCTTTACTTCCTTGTTTTTATCACATTAGCTTCCCAGAGATCATCTGTTGTAGGGGAGATTTGAAATATTATAAATAGATACAAATAAAAACGCAGAAACTAGTCCTGCTGTGTCTAGTGAAGCTTATTTCTTATTTCCATTCAGGAAATTCCCATTTCTCATTTCCATTCATTTCTCATAACCATTCAAGTTATGACATATGTACATTCATAGATTTCCCTGTTCTCCATGTTCTCTCTCACACACACCTTCAAGAATTCTCACACACACACACACACACACACACACACACACACACACACACACACACACACACACACACACACTTTTGTTCCTTGAAACAGTCATATGCAGTAATGTATAAGCAGAATTTCTCCACTGCTCTGGAAACATACCCATAAAATGACAATGTAGCTAGGGTTAATTCCATGGTAATTTCCCATGCAAATGTCCAAGTTCAGTTACTTTTGTGAGAACCGCCAGCCTGATTCTGTTATGTACCTATTCCCAAAGCAGAATTAGCCTGTTATTTTCAGATCAAAGGAATGTAAGAACCTTCTGTCCGGTGACCATGCTGGATGGAGGTTCTGGGACTTGTGGCCCAGCATAAGTAGTTTCCAGGCTCTCTGTATGCCAGGTTGGACTATTGCTCCCATTTAGCTTAGTACTGTCTAGACAAAGTATGAGTCTCTACAAAAATCCATTTTTTTGCCTTCTTTTTTAAAAAATGACTGGCTAAAACAAATCATTGTGGGTGTGGAATTTTGCTCTGTTTTGGTGAACTCTCTGTTCCTCTAAAAGCTGGCTATTATGTGCCTTACATGCCATCAAGTCAAAATCAACTTATAGCTGGATAGCTCAGTGGCTTAAGTTATCTGGCTGCAGAGACAGAGGTTAGGAGTTCAAGTGTCCACTGTGCCTTCTGGGAGAAGATCTGCTCTTTGTAGCCTTGGGCAAGCTGCAGAGTCCCAAAGTATCCCCGGAAGAAGGGAATGGTAAACCACTTCTGAGTACTCTGAGTATCTACAAACTCTGGGAAGGTTTCGTGATAAGCCAGGATTGACTTGACAGTGTGTAATTATGACAGTATGTAATTATTACTGAGTATGGCTTTCAAGGGGAGTGAGATATTTAAGGAGTGGTTTTACCAGTTCCACCTGGTGCCCCCACCATGATTTTACTTTTTAAACTATTTACACCACTAAGAGGTACAAGGGGACTTTTTCAGTTAAAAATGAAACCACACACAGCATTTTTGTAAGGAAAAATGGGGATGGGCATCATGAGAGTGGCCCTCTGACATGCAGGGATGGGCAAGTATGACCTCTGGAGGGTGCTCTCCCCTGTTTAAACTATCACTATTTCAAATAGAAGTCTTACCCAGCCCTTTTGAGAGATGACAAGGACTGAGGAGTTCCTATATGCAAAGAACGTGTTCTGCTGCTGAGACACTACCTGGATTTTCCCTATGCAGAAATCACAAATCAACATTGCAAATCACAGTGATGTTGTCTTTATGCTAGCAATAAAGTACACTTTTCGTTTAAAAAAAAACCTAAGCAAAAAAAACACAAAAAAACAGCTAGCTTATGCTGCATGTGTTTTCACATAATATAGTGATCTTCAGTAACACACATTTAAAAACATGGGGCCACTTCAAAAGGCAACAGTGATATAGTCTACAACATCTACAAACATCTATAGAGTAGTCTACAAACATCTCCTATAGATTTGGTGGTCAGAGGCAACTGTTCAGGAGTGTCCATGGACCAGGCAGAAAGGAGACCAAGCAGGGAGGCACCATCTCTGGGAAAGGAAGCGGCCACAGCTCTCCCTCACCTTCTCCTGATCAACTCACCCTTCATCCTTTTGATAGCTGCATCCATTCGCAACCCATCTTTCTTAATTCGTGCTTTAAGGACTTGGCCAAAGTTGCCCTCTCCAATCACATCTTGAAATTTAATGTCATTCCACTCCAGAACTGGGTAAATTGTGGGTTCTGGGCTGTTTTTGGCTTTCCGGCTCAGAGTAAGAGTCCCTGAATTGAAATGTACAGCTGGCTCATCTCTCTGGGTTGATGTTGTTTTTAAAGAGAAGCAATATTAATTAGATTGTACAAAAGATACAACAGGGAACGGGTTACTCTGAAAGTACCTAATCCCAATAAACAACTTCTCAAGAAATCTGCAAATGGCCTTTAATGATGCTAACAACAATAATAAAGTAATGATTTCATCCCAATTATGGGATGAAATCATTACTGGGAATTACCCACATTTCCTTTCCTTACAAATAGCCATAATGAAACAGATGCTCTGGCCTGTGAATTATGCACAGGTGTTTCTGAGATTACTTAAACCTGAACTACAGTAACAAGCAAGTGAAAATTATCCAGTTATATCCTTTTACTTTTTTTTATACTTGCATTTTTGTAAAATGTTGCAGGTGTTTCATTAACTTCTGTGAAATCATATACAGTATACACAAATATCTCTTGAGAGATCTATATAAGACTAGAAGGATTTTGTCAAATTGTATGGGAAACTGCATTCTTTGCTTGTCTTCTTACCAACCAATGCATGTTCTCTAAGTGGACAACCACATTGTCAAAACCTGTGGAAAACACTATGGGGGTGGACTGATTCTCTCTCTCTCTCTCTTTCTCTTTCCCTTCCCCCCAATTGATCACACAACACAATGAAAAATGTGTGCCCTCTCTTCAGTCTGTAGCTTTTCCTGTCCATTAGGACACTTTCTACTTTTTAAAATGTTGAATCCTTTTGGATTAGTTCAAGCATGTGCTTGCTGGAATTGATGCAGACAGGGAGGAGAATGTGTATGTGTGTGCATGCTCAAAACACCTCCCCATGTCTACTTTTTAAAACGTTGAATCCTTTTGGATTGGTTCAAGCATGTGCTTGCTTTAATTGATGCAGACAGGGAGGAGAATGTGTGTGTGTGTGTGTGCATGCTCAAAACACCTCCCCATCTTCCCCCTCACCTTTGCCTCTTACCTGAAGGTGTGAGCTTACACACAAACACACAGGGCAGGGCCAACACAGACTCTGCCCAGCAAAGCCTGTCCCCCAAGACTCTTCTTTGTTGCTTTTAAAGGCTTCTTCTCCTGGGAAACACCCCTGTTGCTTTATTTATTTATATTTTTAATAGGTTAACAAGGGTAAGTCCCATATTAGAAGTGGACAATCAAAACTGGGGGAAAAAACTGTCTCACTGTCAATTAATGCATTTCTTAGAACAGGACCGCTTGCAGGGCTGTAAGTAGAATTGCAAGCAGTTCTATTTAAGTGTGGTTGCTAGAGATAGGCATGGACTGCCAGGTCAACCAAGGACCAGACAGGGGTTTGGCAGTTCAGTGCCCTGCCCCCTCTAGCAGGTGCCCAGTCAGAAGCAGCATCCCAGCTTCCCTGCCCTGCCTCCTCCAGGCACTGCCTCTGAGTGGGCGCCTCCTGGAGGGAGCAGGGCACTGAACTGTGGAATACCTGTTTGGACATTGGCCAAACCAGCATGAACCGCCAAACCGGTGTTTTGTGTCCATCTCTAGTGGCCACTGAAGTCGAGGATACCTGAATTCCCTGGTGCAACTTCACAGTGTGGGAACGTGCATTTTCTCTCTCTCTGCACTAAGAGAGCCACCTCCAATCTGAAACCCACAAAACATTTTGGACTGCAAGTCCCATAATCCAAGACATCTCATGGACTGATAGTTTGGGAAGTCTGCTTTAGGAAGGACCAAGGACTTACCACCACGTTTTGGAAGGCCTGAGCCATTCTCCGCTGGAAGTTTGCACGCTTCAGCTGGAGCATGATGAAAAAAGCCAGCAGTATGGTCAGGCAGGTCATCCCTGCTGAGCCCAGGATAGCAATCAGCAACATTCTGCTTCCTTTTGACTCATGTAGAACTGTGAGGAACACAGAAGATTTGGGAATCTTTTGCATCCTCTCTGGATGCAAAAGACCTTTCAGGTGAGCTTGGACTTTGCACATGGAACTACATCTATACAACCCCAGATTAATCTGATGTTCTGAGATATTTCAAATTAAATCCACCCCATCACTGAGAAGCCACTATAATATGGAGGAATGGTAGTGAGTGGAAGGTCAATTAAAGCTCCAACTGTCAAAAGCGAAATACATATTTTGGATATTGATGTTTCTATTTACAGTATTTGTTAAATTTTTATCATAGCCAACAGGCAAATGCTTGCAGGTTGGTTTATAATAACAGAAAACACCGCCTGGGAAACTTCTCTCTCTCTCTCTCTCTCTCTCTCTCTCTCTCTCTCTCTCTCTCACTCACACACACACACACACACACACACAGAGTCTCTGCTAAAAAGCAGACACATTGTGTGCGTGATTGTCAACTCCCCAAGTGACTCTTTGTGATCCAGCTTGCTTAGACACGGGGGAGGGGGAAGAGGTATGGGATATTCTTAAAAACAAACAAAACCCTGAAATGACATAGCACTTTATCTGTTTATCAGTCTAGTGAAATGGACTAGCTTTGTTAGCTTCATCTCCTTCCCAGCAAAGCTTTCACATCCTGTCACCAGAGCTGGGAAAAAGAGGAGAAACCAATACAAAGTTAGTAAACATGTTTACCAGTTTCATTTGGACCCTTGTGAGGCTTTCAGATCATGAGTAGAAGACATGTTAGCAATGTAGCAGTTTTCTGAGGCAGCACTATGCCTGACACACATTTTTTTTTTGAAAAAGAAAAATTGTTTGGAGGAGAGACTATAGGTGTTCACTTGGGAATTATTCCTATATATAATGCCATTCTGCACCCTACTGGAGATGTCACCATAGCTCAACTATAGCTCTGAATAGAATAGGTGATAACACAAGCCAATCAAGGCAAAAATGTGATGTACACTGAATCAGTACAAAATAAACAACCTACTGACAGCTGAGCAAAAAGAAATGAATGCCAGTGAAAAAAAGTGGAGGCTTTTGTACGATGTGGGACAATTTGTCAATGTAGTTTTACTCCATGTTCTGATTTTTAAAGACCATCAAAAAATTAAAAACCAAATGATGTAGCCATTTTCAAGATCGTTGTGGTAAAAAGCCAGCAAGAGAACAGATAATGAAAGCAATGCATTAAAGGGCAAACTCCTGCAAGAAGAGGAAGGTCGTAATGAAGAGGCCAGGTGGATCTTCTTAGGCTCAAAGCCTTAAGGAGATTACTCCACATTGTGGACTGTGGCAGTAACAAGAAGAGCCTCCAATGACTGTCATAACAATCAGGCCTGAGCATGTGGAAGAAGGTGCACCTTCAGGAGACTGATCGTAAGATGTTTTAGGTCATCGTCATTTGGTGTAGACATGTCATGATGAACTTCTTGTAACTTATATTCTCTTATTTAAAGAAATGGTTCAAATAAATATTTTCAAATGGCAACAATAGTGGAAATTGCTTGATTTTGTATTCTTGTGTAAATAATGCATTTAATACTGCTATTACTGTGAGGGCTTGGAGAAACAGTTCATATGGTTTGGGAAGCAACCAAGAATTCCATTTATTACAGCACAGAAAACAAATGAAGAAGGAAAACAGAATGCCCTAGGTATTATTCTGTACTACTGTAACAGATGTATAATATCCACATTTTAAGAAATAATGGTAATGTACAGTAATTCAGTGAAACATGAGAACAAGAAACATTTGCAGTTCTTGTTGAACGTTTCCCATGGTTTCGCTTAAGATCATCTGGCTCTTGCTTAAGTCTACATGGCAGTCTTGCATTGGTGGCACATAACTAATTTTGCATGTTATCCAATGGGAAACCACTGAACAAGAATTAATCTGTTTTCATTAGCTTAAACAAAGATAAAGGCTTATTGGCCAAAATCCTATTGGTATTTGTGTAAAGTTTGTTACTTTGTTGCTTTATGTTACTTGTTGTAAATCATGTAGAGTGGCCTTGGCTGCCAGATGGGTGGTATATAAATCAATCAAAAAAACAAACAAACAGACAGACAGACATGCTACAGTTAATTAGGGTTGACTGATAAGTTGCCAGGGTGCATCTCAGCTGGACCACCAGGCAGGTGACCTGACACACAACCAAGACAAACTCCAGCACCTTGTCAATTAGCTACAATTTGCAATAGCACAGACACCTTACATGAACATTGATAGGACCTTGACCATTATTTCTTAATTATACCAACCAACTCATCTTGATTGTCTTCCCATTCAAACTTTGTTTTACAACTACTATTTAGGTAGTTTTCTCTGGCTGTGATTTCTGCATTTTTATTTGGTCTGCCTCTGCCAATTTCAACCCCATTCAAATTTTTACCAAACCAAATGCCAAGCGTGAAAAATCATTTCCTATATTAAGCTCTAAATGTTCTCTCTTTTGAGGTGGGATCTTTTAACCTGAACTAATACCATACAATTTGATGTATTTAAAGAGTTTTGCTCCCCACCCCCATCTAGAGTAGCTTTTCAAGGGCAACGGAAGGAAAATGGTATCAGGTGGGGGAATTGCATCCCACTCTTCTTCCAGTGAGAGTATCCATAAGAGTTCCAATCATGTGAAATTATTTGGGATAAAAGCCAGAAATCACACAGAATGGAGACGAATGAAGGGGATATTTGCCAAGTGAGCCAGATCAGCTGAATCAACACTGGTGATCCATCGGGTGCCAGATGTCACAGCCAGATCTCACTCACTGATGAAATTAAGAGCACATGTAAGAATAAAAAACAGTCAAAATATATTGTGAACCCCTGTTATGCACACATAACCAGGCAGGAGTTCTACTGAAAATTATGGGGCTAATTTTCAGTTAAATGTGCATAGAGTTGATCTGTAAAGAATTCAGATATCAGCTGACACTAACCTTTAGATTCTGGAAGAGTCTTCATCTCATAAGAAGGGTTTGTGATACTTGTCCCTACATTGTTCTGAGCTCTTATTTGAACTGTATATTCGGTGTTTGGTTCAAGACCCTTGAGGTGGTACTGGGTAATAGTGGTGTTTTTGATTGTGACATCTATGTGGTTGTATTCAGTCTTTCCATATATTTTATAGCTGAGGATGATGGAGGAGATGGAATGTCCTTCAGCAGTGGACCAAGAAATGATAGCAGAGGAGTCTGTGATGTTCATAATCTTGATGTTATCAGGTGAAGGGGGGAACCCTACCAAATAAACAGAAAGAAGAAGAGAAAATGTTCTATTTCCCATTAGTCCTTGCTCCACTTAAGAAAGGTTATACATTTTCATTTCAACCCTACAGTGAGTGCATTTTGAACAAGCTTAAAACTTAGCTACAATAAGTTATAGCAATCCTGCAGTCCAGTATGTGTCTACCCAGAAGTAATCCCCACTGAGTTCAATAGGAACTGCAACCACAAAAGCGTGCATAAGATTAAAATGGAATACTCACAAAATGGAGGCTCTGTGGATCAGTGATTACTATGTCTAAGAATATGGTAAGCAAATTGGATGGGATTGCACTCCTTCCGGCAGGATAGTCCTGGATTCATCACTGGGGGCCCACGTGGACTCCATGGTCTAAAGTCATCTGGGCCCACTTTGCTTCCTTTGCCATATACAATTCCTGAGCTGGGATAATCTCAATACAGGCGTTCAACCACTGGCAACGTGCCACTTAGATTACTGAAGTTTGTTGGTGGTGGGTTTGCCCTTCAGGCTGGCACAGAGGCTGCCAGTAGTGCAGGATGTAGCAGTTAGACTACTGGCAGGAACTCCACATAGAAGCCCCAGTGGAAGTAGTTTTAAGAGTATTACGCTGGGTGCCGCCATGCTTTCAAGTCTGTGTTCAAGCTTTTTGTAATGATTTTCAAAGCTCTAAACAGCTCGGGACTTACAAATCTGGGAGGGGGGGTACCTCTCCTCATCTATACCTGCCTGATCATTAATATCTGCTGGGGAAGCTTTTCTGTATTCCATCAGCATAGTAATGGAGATATAGGAGAGGAATTTTTGGGTTGTGGTACCCTGGTTGTGGAGATTTGGGGAGATAGAATCAATTATCTTTCTCCAGTTCTGTAGACAAAGAGATGCCAAGTACTCAGTAGCTAATTCCACTGCCTTTTGTCAATTTCTGCTTTGGGTGCTTCTTCTCCTGACCTGAGCTGCCTTTAGCCATTTTGTCAGCTGGGGCAAGTGGCACCATGGCCCACCTACTCCACATCAAGGCACAGGTGTGGCAAGAAAAAAGAGGAAGAGAATGTGATGCTTTTCCCCAAAGAAAGAGGAAGGTAAAGGTTCATGTCCGACTCTAGGGTGCGGAGCTCATCCCCGTTTCCAAGCCAGCGTTTGTCCGAAGACAGTTTCCGTGGTCACGTGGCCAGCGCGACTAGACACGCAATGCCATTACCTTCCCACCATGGTAGTACCTATTTATCTATTCACATTTGTATATGCTTTCAAACTGCTTAAAATTTATTAAAAGGAAAATGAATAGGGCTGGGATGTGTTGCTGTTTGTTTTCATAATCCTATAGATTCACTCCTATGTTCTGCCACCCTCCATATTTTGGCACTGTTGGGCAAAGCCACCACTGCCCTGCTGAAGTCTTAACCAAAGCAAATGCATTGTCAGGCAACAAGTCCCTTCAGTCAGAGAATTCATTGGGTGTCTGGCATCACCTTGCCCCATAGACCTAGAGAAAGTAAATTGAATCAGATACCACATGAGGTGAAAATTGATACGCAACACCTCTCCAGTTGATTTTACCAGTTTACTGTCTCCATCTTGAGGCTCTACGTGCAGGTGTGTTTGCCTAGGAAGATTAGATTATACCATACAACGGACTCCATCAGCTTACGGTCACTGAAGGTCCATGCATAAAGATTGTCACTCCATTCTCCCTCAGATTTGCTGTTTACACGGACTCGGCACACATATTGGTGTCTAGGCTTTAAATTGTCCATGATCAGAGAAGACTGATTTCCAGGCAGTCGAATGACAATGGCGCTCTCTCCATCCATATCATGTACACTCTTCCTTTCTACTTCAATTTCGACATTGTCTTCCAAGTGTTGAGCCACTGGCTGCCACGACAAGTGCAGAGATGTGGGGCTTTTAGGAACAAGAGCGAGGCCTCTGGGTGGAGGGAGCCCTTAAAAGTTGTAAGAAGGAAGAGTATTGTCTTTGGAACTCGTGGGATCAAAAAAAAAAAACAATACCCCTCTTTAACATGCTTTATATCACACGCTCATACTGTACATGGTTAGGATGTTGTTTATGCTACAGATTGTACTCAAGAGACTGAGTACAATATGTACATGCTAAACTTCTTTCCCTCTCTTTATGCTCTCACTGAGATCCATTTCCATCAAAAGTCATTTTAGAAAAGTCTCTCCACACATTACATTACATAGCAGGGAGCAAACCCGGGCTAACAACGTAACACATACATGATAGGGAGCTGCAACTGCATTTCTAATGACTAGCACACAATCATTTTGTGTGGTTGTTGTGGGTTTTTCGGGCTCTTTGGCCGTGTTCTGAAGGTTGTTCTTCCTAACGTTTCGCCAGTCTCTGTGGCCGGCATCTTCAGAGGACACTCTGTCCTCTGAAGATACCGGTCACAGAGACTGGCGAAACGTTAGGAAGAACAACCTTCAGAATATGGCCAAGGAGCCCGAAAAACCCACAACAACCATTAGATCCCAGCCGTGAAAGCCTTCGCGAATACACAATCATTTCATTTTTGGATGTTCCGTGTGTAAAAGATCTTAGTGCACATCAGGGGTGCACTTGGGCTGTTTGATTTAATTCACCAAACTATTTAGTCCCAGTTGCCAGGATAGCTCCCAAATCCATGATAAAAAAAAGCCAAATCCAAAATCTATTGACAGCTTATGACTGTAGCAATCATCTGTATGACCCCTCGTGTAATCTAAACACATAATCTCATTAGCAACTGCAGACAAAAGGGGAAGATTTATATCACTAAGGAAGCAATAAACATTTGCAATATTTTTCATTGGGGAACTTTTCTTAAGGACGCTTGTGGGACAGTGGATAAATTGCAGTACTGCAGTGAAGACTCTGCTCACAACCCAAGTTCACTCCTAGGCTCAGGGGGCTGGCCGGTTCATGGAGGGTGAGGGCAATGTGTACCCTACATAATTACATTGTAAACCTCCCAGAGAGAGCTTTAAGTTCTATGGGATGGTATATAAGCTGCATGCTTTGCTTTTGCTTTAAAAAACAACAACTATAAGGATATAATGGGCATTCAGAAATGGTTTTTGTCCTTGGAGAAAAATTATCAACTATCTCAGCAACATTAGCAAAAAACCTGTTGTGCTTTGCACAAAAATGTAGTATACAATGGTTTCCCCCAAACAACAATAGAAACATGATGTAAGCAGGAAAGAAAGAAGAAAACCTAAGTAGCAAAGCTAATTTACAGCCAATTCTCCAATTGAGTCAAAAGGAAAAGGAGGGAGGAGCAGGCAAGAAACATGCAAAATGTAAGCAAAAGCTTTATATCATAATAGAATGCCCTGGAATTGATAGTAAGGCCTAAACTCTACACAGTGGAGTGGTGTTGATATATTATTTAATGGCTCCTATTTTCCAGCAATAATAAAGAAAAATGATCAGTTCTTTGTTTTGGGGAGGAATGTTCTTTTCCCATGGTAACAGCCACACTCCTGCAGAAAGCAGCCACACATTTGAAATATGAAGTGTGATATCTTCTTTATGAGAAAAACCCAAAGGTCTGCATACCAAGAGCAGCTGTAGAGAAACTGGCCTGTGGCCCAGGATGTCCTGCTCCCTGCTCTCCTCTGCGAGTCAGCCGGACACAGAGTGTGTATTCTGTTTTTGGTTCCAGATTGCTCAATTTCCAGATCTCTTCAGTTACTGAGTTTGAAAGAAAAACAACAACACAAGAACAGAACAACACAACAGAATTAGGTAAAGGTAAAGGTTCCCCTTGACATTTAGTCCAGTCGTGTCCGACTCTAGGGCGTGGGGCTCATCCCCATTTCCAAGCTGTAGAGCCAGTGTTTTGTCCGTAGACAGTTTCCGTGGTCACGTGGCCAGCGCGACTAGACACGGAACACCATTCCCTTCCCACCATGGTGGTACCTATTTATCTACTTGCATTTGCACGCTTTCGAACTGCTAGGTTGGCAGGAGCTGGGACAAGCGACGGGAGCTCACTCCGCCACGTGGATTCGATCTTATGACTGCTGGTCTTCTGACCTTGCAGCACACAGGCTTCTGTGGTTTAACCCACAGCAGCACCACATCCCTATACAACAGAATTACATGTGACCAAATAATAAAAATAAAAATAAAGGAAGCAGGATTGTGAGTATAGAAACATAAGCATTTTGTCCCTCTCTCACCTCTGATCAAGTATATTTTTCTCCTTTATGAAGCAAATTAAAAACTGTAACATCTGTTCAGCAGAGGCACCTGATAACATAGTACTGTAAACTGCACAAATGACAACTTTAAGTTCAACTTCAATTCTCTAGAAAAAACATCTAGCATGGACACTGCGCAGCCATAGAATGAACAGATGGCACGTCCCTTGTACAAGCAGGGGTTCCCTGATATTTGTTTGTTTATTTTTGTCAATTTCCCCATTCAGCACATTTCCAGAGATGCCTCTGATCTTCAAGAGCATTTTTCAGGCCAATCAAATGCTGCAGTGAGCAGGGTAGGTGGGGCATAATAAGGGCACTCCACAATTGGGGCTCCATTTGTGCTTCATATAAGCTAAGCCACTAGCTTGGTTCAAATGTAAAGGGAAACCAAAGAAATCAAAGACTTCTTTTTGTATGAGAACAAGCACTAGTGATTAACTGTAGTTTAAACAAATCACAGTTCTCTGAGAGTAGACATCAGAGAACTGTGGATTTCGACCATTGCCTCTCAGGTGAAAAAATTCATCTCCCGATTATGACAGAAAGAGAAGACAAGGGCAAAAACAAATGTTAATGACAGCATGATTGTTGTGATGTGCCATCATGTTGCCTCCAACTTATAGCGACCCTATGAATGAGCAATCTCCAAAATGTCCTGTTCTCAACAGCCCTGCTCAGCTCTTGTAAACACAAGAGTGTAGTTCTTTTGGGACGTCAATCCACCTCATATTTGGTCTTCCTCTTTTCCTGCTCCCTTCAATCTTTCCTAGCATTATTGTCTTTTCTGAGAATCCTGCATCCTCATGATGTGCCCAAAATAACACAGCCTCAATTTCAATATCTTTATCTCCAAATGCATCATAATAGAATGTCCTGGAATTGATAGTAAGGCCTAAACTCTACACAGTGGAACGGTGTTTGATTTGCTCTTGGACCCACTTGTTCACCTTTTCGGTTGTCCAGGGTAACAGCAAAGCTCTCTTTCAGCACCACAACTCAAATGAATCAATTTTTTTCCTGTCAGCTTTCTTAACTGTCCAGCTTTCACACTCATACATGCTGATTGGAAATACAGTACAAGACTCTGGATGATTTTGGACTTGGTGTCCAGTGACACATCCATGATTAGAAAAGGAAAACCTTTTACTACTGGAATAATCTGAATGTCACTTCAGGAGCTTCTCTCCCCTCATATTAGCTTGCTTTGTTTGGCCTTTAGTATTTAAGCACTGGATTCCTTTGACCCTGAAAGACGGCCTCAGTCACCTTTCTCCAACATTAACAGGCTTTCATAATACGGGGTGAAAGCTTGTTTGTATTGGAGGCAATTTACTATCCAGGACATCACTTACTGTAGTACCTTAAGCACCTTCCAGATGCAAATAAGAGGAGGAGATGGGGAACAGATGAGCCTAACACTCACTACAGATCACTCTTGTAGCTAGAAGCCATGGGTTTCTTTGACACCAGAACTATGTCAGAATTTCAAGGCCTTCTTGTTAATCTCCAGAGTCCACATCCTGATATGTAAGTTACTATAACATTTACTGAACAAAACTAGTACAAGCTATCCTGTCATGAAGCTGTCCTCCTATTGTCACAGAAACTGTATCATATGAAAAAGACATTTGGCTTTTCCTGGGACATTCACACTTTCCATAATTTCCACTGAGTGCCCTAGCTGAAGCCAGGAACATGGGGATTTCCTGTCCAAATAAACGCTGGAAGTCATAACATGTCTGCATTGTTTTTACTCTTATATGGATCAGGATTACCAATCAAGATGTTGATATGTTTAGAAAAAAATCTTGCATCTTCATTAAGGATCCTTATGAATCTCTCTGCCTTGAAGAAGAATACCAATTACTGTATTATTACTTTGGCAAGGAACAACGATGTATTACGACATAAGACATAAGAAATTTATTTGTCGACTATGTATTACATGGAATGCTTATCATCAACCTGCCACCGTAAGGATTAGACCAGACCAAATGCTATTGGTATACCTGTACTTGCATGCCACTTTTGGAGCCAGAGGTCCTCCCTGCCCCCTGCCAAATTTTGGGAATTGTACAGTGCTGAAGGGGTGAACTGTTAACAGTCCTTCTTCTCTATCACTACCCCGAAGCGACAATTTCCAGATTTCTTGGGGAAAGCAAAGGGCTAAAGTGCAGATGTTATGCATATCTGAAAGCACCACATATTTTGTGATCAGGACTTCAAGGGGCCATGACCTGTACCTTCCACTGATGTCCACTGCAATTTGGCACTTCTGTAGAGAAGCTGGGTTGATACAATTGGTCCATCCCCAGAATATGGCTCAGCGTTTGTCTTAATGATGAGAAAATTATGTCCTCTCTCTACCAAGGCTGGAGCTTTTTCAGGCAATGGGAGAACTGGTCAGGAAGAGGAAAAATAGCAACATAATTATATGAATGTTATTCACAGAACAAAAAGTTTAGTAATGAAGTATTCTGTCTCTATCAGATAAGAATGCCAGTGCAAAGGAATTGTTTGGAAATATTTAGTAAAATATTTAGTAATTTAGAATATTTAGTAATGAAATATTCTGTCTCTATCAGATAAGAATGCCAGGTAATGAAGTATTCTGTCTCTATCAGATAAGAATGCCAGTGCAAAGGAATTGTTAGGGATAAATTCATTCATTGTATTTGACTCACTGCTCTGCCTCTAGAGGTGGGTTCACAGAATGAGTTTGTCCCAAATATTTACTACGCTTTCCTCTAGGATGGAAAGGAGACATTTCTGGTTTGTCCCAAATGCTGCTTTACTACGTTTTCCTCTAGGATGGAAAGGAGACATTTCTGCTTTTTGTACCTTACAATGTACACAGTTTCTACCACAATGATTAACGATTCCAGAAACAGAGAGGGTGGTAGACGGTTTCAAATATGGGGTCCCATGGTGCATTTCAGATTGTGCTCCATTTAATCCTGTAAATAATACCACTGTTGTTGAAGAAACCACCTGGGCTCATGGGCCTCAACACATACAACTCCCCCTGAAATATATATATATTTAACTTCATGCAATTAACTGAAAAGAAACACATCCATGCAGATCCTTGGGAGTACTTTCTGCTTCCACTGCCCCATCTTCAGCAAATAAACTAGATGTCTTCTCATGCTTATGCAAAGTGTTTATAGATTACTGAACTTTTCATCATGAATGTACTGACAAGAGTGAACAAGGGGCTCATTTTTCTTTCCCCTCACACTGGGAAACTCATGAGATATCAAAAGTACCCCAGGGAGTTTTAAGATGACTTCTTCCTTCTCACTGAGATCTTTTCTTACTCCCTTCACATAGTCTTCACATACTCCTCCTTGTACGTCCCATACTGCCCATGGTGTGGTGCGTCAGACCATTTCCTCTACACTGAGATAAACCAATGACATCAGCTCTCCAGCTGAAGGGACTTGCTGACAGCCTGACAACAGTCCTCCAAAGCTGAGTCCACTCATTTACTCTGGAAGCCTTCGGCCGTGATGTTAGCTTCTAGCTCACGTTGCATGCCCTTGGCATCTGCCTGGACTCCATTTCCAGAAACTTCCGCACCCCAGCCACCTTCTGTCATGCAGACTCAAAATTCCTTTAATATCTATGACAGTTTATAGTTTTCACTTTCACATGCAACTGAGTCCAGTCCTTCCACGGCCCTTGGTTCCTATGGCTAGTGAAATTATTTGCAGAGGCCATTAATTCTGATCACTGTCATTAGTTTCTGAAAACAAGACTGGTTGACAAGACTGGATTTCTGCATATTCTCTTGTGAGCTCTAGTGAAAAAGAGTTGTTTGGGTTTAGAGGGATTCTTTCCCACATCCTTTTTTTAAAAGGCATTTCAGGTTCTTGATTTAAATAAAAGGTTGAACGTTACCTCTGTTTCATAAGCCTCACTTATCCTGCTTCTATGTTAAAGGGGATAGGATTGGGAAAAAATCCCTCTACAGAAAATGTTATTTGTTACTTGTAGTCCTTGTTTGCCATTTTTGATATTCCCAACTGCAACCCAGAGAAAATTAGGTATGCTTAAATCCTTCTGAAATCAATCAGATGTAAACAGTCTACTTTATATTCTGCCTGTCCTCCAGTGAGATTACAGCTGCATATATGATTGCCTTTTCCTCACTTGTGTTCTTACAGCAATACTGTGTGTTAGTTCAGGCTGAGAGATTGTGACTGGTGATCCAGTGAATTTTATGACCAAGCAAGTGTTTGAACCCAGATCTCCTGAGTCATAGACCCACCACTCTAACCCCACCACTCCAGCTCTCACAAAAGCAAACAGGTGCTTTTTTTCCTCATCCACATAACCTTCATTTAGCGTGCTGTGCTTTATGATTGGTCACTGGCAGATAGACTTGCAGATTAAGATATGGAACAGGTATCTCTGAAGTGATTCCATTAGAGAAGGGGAGTGGGTAAAGGTAAAGGTAAAGGTTCCCCTTGACAATTTTTGTCCAGTCGTGTTCGACTCTAGGGGACGGTGCTCATCCCCGTTTCCAAGCCATAGAGCCAGCGTTTTGTCCAAAGACAATCTTCCGTGGTCACATGGCCAGTGTGACTTAGACACGGAATGCTGTTACTTTCCCACCGAGGTGGTCCCTATTTATCTACTCACATTTGCGTGCTTTTGAACCGCTAGGCTGGCGGGAGAAAGGGAGCGGGTACATTCCCATATTTAATTTAAACCTAAGTGTTCCGAAGCCTGGTGGCAAATCATTTTCCGTTACCTTTAACTGTGACTTGTAGAGGTTTTTCTGTCATCCCTGCTATCGTTTCAACAACATAGACCCACATTCCAGAATCAGAAGGTTGGGCATTTTCAACCTGAAATGTAGCTTCTGTAGCATCTGACTGATTCCTTCTGTTGGCCACTGTGACAGGCTGAAACAGCAAGCAATACAAAATAACCTTAGAATCAGAAGTTTAAAAACCACCAACAACCTTCATTTTTTGCCTTTTTAAAAGTATTGGATATTTTGAGCTAATAAATTCAGATGTAATGGGGAAAATATCACAAAGATTCTGTAGCAGTTTTGTAGCAGTTTAGCCCAGAACTGCCCTGGAACTCATCATATGGAAGAGTGGTAAGGAAAACGATATATTCACCTTACTATCCCCATCAGCTGAGACAGAAAAGTTATTAGAAAAGGGGGAAAGCTTAATTGTTAGTAAGCTTAAAAATCTAATCCGATTAAGTTTAAATTGGAACAGGAAAATTTTCAACAGTTAGGTAGATGCTAAACAGCTGGGTGCTAAATTACTAGAATAAACTTTTCTGAGGAAAAAAAAAGCAGAAAAATGCCATCCATCATTTTGTTCCCCTCTCCATCCCTGTTTTCAACTTTGGAAAGAAGAAAGCAGTTTCACAGATTTTTTAAAAACCCATTTCCTCAAACACTGCAACACTTTAAAGGCTAACCATTTTATTACATTTTAAGGACCAAAGTCCACTTCCTCATATACAGGAATGTAAATAAATGTCTTGTATATCTATACATATCCCCATTATCATGTGAGGGTACAGTCACAGACAAAGGGAGACAGTAGTTTTATAACCACAGGAAGTTGAGTCATTAATGCATGTGTTACTGGACTGGAACCTCTATATGTAACCACCTTCTGCTGTCTCTGTTTTCAGTCTCCCTTTGAACTTATTTTCCCTTCCTTTACTATAGCCACACTGAGATCCATAACAGAGTGTATTGAGCAGTAGAAGCATTCTGAAACTGATTTCCCTGTGTTGGTATTGTGTTGACAATGCCAGACTGGTGTCCATTAAATTTTGTCCTGCTGTTTCCACTGTCAGACTCTGAAACATCTCTTAGCTTACAGCCAAGTCCACCTGGCCCATTTGCTAGCCAGGCCCTGTTAATTGAAGGAATTAGCAGTTTTGATAGTCCCACTGCTGTTTTAACAAAGCATTGCCACTTTCTTTATTACCTGTATTCTCACCTGATCATGCAGACATATATAAATACTGTATGCAGAGCATTTATCTGCACTCCTGCATCTGAGGAAGTGGATTTTTATCCATGAAGGCTCACACTGAAAATGTTGTATTATATATTTTTTCCTCCTAGTATTTTTTCTGTAAACATTTTTCTTTATTAGTGAAGTTATGTGTGGAGGAAGGGAGGCTGTGAATAGAAGTCATTTAAACTGCAATTCTTCACTCACAGATATGGGAGTAAACTTCACTTGATATACTAGGATTTGCTTTTGAGTAAACATGCATAAAATTGCACAGTTAGACTTTTTTTCACCACATAAACTGTCAGATAAATTACAGTACAATTCCCTCTCTCCCTCACTAAGTGTTGTTGTTGTTATGTGTTTCTGGCTTATGGCAACCCTATGAATTAATGACCTCTGCGCAAGTTCCTATTCTTAACAGCTTTGCTCAGGTCTTGCAAACCAAGTAATCACAATTCATAAGGCTGCAATGGTATATCCATTTGCCACACTGAATTTAGCGGAACATACTTCTGTGGATTGTACTCTCAGTGATTTTAATCCTCATTTCATCCATGATAATGTAGTTTTTCAAGTGAGGGAACCTTCTGTTCCTTATGAATCATCCAGATTTAAGTGCATCAGTTGTTAAGGATGCATCTGCACATATCCTGTTCCCAAACAGGAGAAAAGAAACATTTCCACAGAAAAGAGACCAAAATGCCTCATGACACAATGTTAAAGTCAAGCCTCTCCTTCTATCCTGACAAGATTCAGGTAACTGGTGCAAGACTGACTCAGCCTTTCATGTTTCTGAAGTAAACTAAATGAGTACCCAGCTTCCTGGGGAGCAAAATATTCCTTGCAACATTATGTTGTAAACCACCCAGATAGCACTCTAGCATTATATATATAAGTATACAACAAATCTCACACAGCCCATGTCGCTGTGGGATAAAGCCACAAGAACAGAAGGAGAAATGGTAGAAAGAGATTTGCCGCCTAGGGAGACGGCTGCAGCTGTGGTACTGGAACGTGTGAATTAAAAGGGAGGAATCCACAAGCACCTCAGAAGTTAGCTACATGGGAGCTGATCCCAAGCTGTAGCCCCCTGCTAGAACAGTTTGTACCACTTTTTAAAAAGGTAACTACACAACGTTCTTCTTAGGGCATTCCAGCCTTCCCCTTGTGGGGACCAATTTGTCCCAGAGCAGTCTAGGGTTAGAGCTTACTGTTTATTTGGAATAATTAGGATCAATCCAAATAAACACAGCTTTCTAGCCATGTGATCACCAAGTACGCTACAGTGTGGGGTGGATGAGGTCTGGCTGTGACTGCAGATGGTACCTTCTGTCCTATTATGAAGTGAAAAAAGACATTTTTGTTTTAATTTTAAAAAACACACAAACATTTTCCCGTTATTGCATTGCATCACATAAGTGCTATCAGTAAAGGTACCCTTAGTCCAGTTATGTCCGACTCTAGAGGGCGGTGCTCATCCCTGTTTCCAAGCCTTAGAGCCAGCTTTTGTCCAAAGACAGTTTCCGTGGTCACGTGGCCAGTGCAACTAGACACCGAATGCTGTTTACTTTCCCACCGAGGTGGTACCTATTTATCTACTCGCATATACATGTTTTCGAACTGCTAGGTTGGCAGGAGCTGGGACAAAGCGATGGGAGCTCAGTCCGTCACGTGGATTCGATCTTACGATGGCTGGTCTTCCGACCTTGCAGCACAGAGGCTTCTGCGGTTTAACCCACAGTGCCACCATGTCCCACCTTAAGTGCTATATCACTTACCAAAAAATATTTTTAAGAAAGAGAGAGAGAGAGAAAAAAGGAGAAACATGGGGCCGAAGTGCTCCAAACATCCCTTCTTTGTGTGCATAGAAACCCAGCATTAAGACTAGCATGTGAGAAAACTAAAGCAAGCTATCTCCCTCCCAGCCGACAGCTGTTACAAAAGAGAAGGTAGGAAGTGGGAGCAAGAGAGAAAAGGGCACATTGTGACCAAATAGACCCAAACAGACAGGGATCTAACACCAACATGTGGTGGACAAGATTGCAATTACAGGGTCGGCAGGAGTAATTTCTACAGTACGTGAACAGAAGGCGCAATCTAATCAAGCCCCACCATTCCAAAGTGTTCCAAAGTGATCCAGACTGGATCACTCCCTGTCACTGTACCGTCAGACACACTTCCTGGAGGGTCCCATTTCCCTTCCTTGGGCTGCACCCATGGACCCAGACTGGCCCACCTTGATCCCATGGGAAATCCTCAGTTAGTTATTCTAACTCACAGAGTGGTTTTCTCTCCTCACATAGATCAAAGCTGAGCCCAGACATGGAGCACCTGTTACTTCCTTCTTCCCCTTGCCTTTGGGAGGCAAACAGTGACAGAGGGAGAAGGGAGGCAGCCTGCCTGCAGCTTTTAATTCTCAACCCCGCTGCTTTCACCAGAGGGAGGAGGTGGGGCAAGATGGGGTAGGGTGCAAAGGTGGTAGCGACTGCAGCAGGGAAGCTTTCACCACAAATGCTTCTTCTCAGGACACTTTTCAGTATGATAAGGTAATATAAATGGAGATAAGCTGAATTCTCAAGTTAAATTTAAGAAATAACATGAAGTTGCAGCATATTTCTAACTGGTAATGCACACTTTAAATTTAAATAACATTTAGACTGAGTCCTCCCCCCCACCTTCACTCATCAAAAAGACTAAATCAGTTGGCCAAGTCAGTTTATTTCTATCTCAGTTTATTTTCAAATGTTACTGTGGATCTCTGTCCATTAGAATAACCTCTCCCCAGAAAAGAATGAACTGATTAATACATTACCTTGAGAACAGTTCCATCTTTCTTTATGAGTTTGATTTCTTCTTGTGTAGGAAGTGGTTTGCCAGTAACTATGCAGCTAGATTTAAAAACGGAGCCATGGTTGAGTTCCACTGCATCAGGCAAGTTTTCTATCCTTGGTGATTCATCAGCTGTTCCTGTGTGTATAAGCAAGGATTTATAGCATGCTGGTGTGTGTGTGTGTCTTTTAGCGACCCTAATAGGGCTTCCAAGGTAAGTGAGATATGTAAGGAGTGGTTTTACCAGTTCCACTCCCCCAGTGGCTGAGCAGGGATTCGAACCCTGGTATTCAGAGTTCTAGTCTGTCACTCTATCCACTATACCACACTAGGAATCTATAGAATGCTAGCTACCCTTTTCTGTCCCACCATGGATAAAAGAAAGTTCACATAGCGTTCCTAGGTATTGAAGTATACCACAATCATGTGTGCAACCATAAATCCTAGAAAAAGGAATGAACAAATATGTCAAGTTCATTTGCACTAAGTTTGTCATTTCCCCACTGCTGTGTTTGCTGCATTTAAAAAAATGCTTGAAAATGTGTATGCATCATTGTGTATATTTTCCAGGTATATGTATTGCCGTATGCGTATCTGGTGTATGCTTCCCCCCCCTTCCCCCCATGGATTGTTTCTGTATGCTTCCCTTGCAGGCTGCATCTCAAGCTTTGGGAAAGTGCAAATCTTATGTATTCTGGATTGTGCTCACATTCACAAAGGTTGAGGTTGGAACAAGTCTCCACAAAGGAGACATCAGTTTCTGGAACAAGACTGGCGGAAACAGGAAGACATTTGTGGCACTACAGGGTTACCTTTGCTTTACCTTCTTTTTCACAATGCAGACCGTGCCACCCCGACTGGCAGAGGCAGCCCTTAAAGCTGTTGCAGGTTCCCCGGTTATTGCAGTTGTTGGTACACTTCAGTTTACAATCTGGCCCATAAGAGCCTGGCTCACAAGCTGCAAAAAAGACAGGCAAAGGATAATAGTCAACAAATCAGTCATCAAATAAGAATGGAGAAGAATGTAACACATTTATTAGACCATTAAAAAAATTTCAAACAATTAATGCAACCTTTTGTGGATTAAAAATCCCTTCATCAGGCATGGACCAGTTATTTGTGAGTAGTGCAGAAAATTATAAATGAATGCCCCAAAAATTCATGACAGAAGTTGCCCAGGCATTGTCCACTTAAAGTAAGTTTAAAGCTGGCTACAGGCAGGCTGTGTTGTGGATGTGGTTTAATGCTTCACCCCAGTAATAAGTATTCAGATAAATTTTATACACACAGACACACACACTCAGACACCTCAAAATGTGTATATGTGTACCTGTATGTTTAAATGTGTTTGCTAGGACAGAAATGTTGTTATTTGCATAGCATATACTATCCCATCTTGATTAAATTATTATTGTAGTTTTTAATTGTTGTTTTTAAATCTGTTTTTTTTATTTAATATATTGTGAGCCGCCCTGAATAGATTTTTGTCTAGAAGGGCAGGATAAAAATCCAATAAAAAATAAAAAATAAATAAATATGGTTCATTTCTGACCAATCAGAATGTATCTGGAGTCAGCCAGGCTGCTATATAAGGCAGGTGTCGGTCAGAAGTCTGTTAGACACGGGCTGAAGATATGTACCTCAGATGGAACTAAACATGTAATAGATAGGGCTAACAAGGTCTAATAAGGGACAGAGCCAATATGAAATGATGGCAGGGACTAGTGTGATCTATAGGATCAATTAGGGCTTATGAATGTAATGGTGTAATGATAAGAAAGCTAGGTACTGTATTTACCAGAGAAAATATGTCTGTCATACCAAATGTCTAAGCTCTATGAGTAATGCTATGTTTTACACATTTTTATAAACAGTAAAAGTTATTTAATGTTTTTAACCAAAAGCACAAGTGATTGTTTAATATCATTTGTGGGTACACAACAGTGGGTTTTTTTTATCTATATACTTCAAGCTGCTGTGTGCATACTCAGCAAAAGTATAGGTTATATATTATGTATTATAACAAAAAGCCAATAATAAGAATCCTTTTGAAAGATATTAACTGAGTGATGATACCATATGAGTGTAAACCAAAGTTTATCTGTTTCCAGTAGTTCATCTGATTTCTTTCCCACCTCTGTACTTTCATCATTTCACAGCATATCACAAATCCAGTCCAAGAAAAAGTACTGTTTAGCTATACAGTACTTGAATACAGAATGCTGTTAACATTTTTTATTCTGCAGATGAAAAGGCAAGTTAGAGAGATGGAGTTTAGAAAAGTTATTTCTGGACTATAATTCCCAGAATTCATCAGCCAGAATAATGTTGTCTGGGGGACTCTATGACTGCTAGCTCCAAGACAGCTTTTCTCTAATAGATATTATGCTCTTTTTATTTGATACCTGCAGCTATGAGTTATGAAAACTGCATCAATAGGCACAGGAGGGAAAACGTTTAAATAAATGCTCATGTTAGGAAAAATGCATAAATAAAATGTGCAGGTTAGAAAAACATGGAAACCAATGGCATACAAATTTCCACAGGAGAAAAAACAATGCAGTCTCACAACGTGTTATAAGAGGAGGACAGAAACGCTGGTGGGATTTGGACAAATGCAATAAAATTGCGACTAGAGATGGGCATGAAACACCAGTTCAGTTGTTTGTGCCAGTTCATGTCTTGGCTGAACTTCAAGTTCAGCACTTCAAAGCCCCACCTCCTCTGGCAGGTGCCCACTCAGGGACAGCACACAGAGGAGGTGGGCAGGGAAGTCAGACTGCTGCCTCTGTGGGCACCCGCCAGAGGAAATGGGGCTTTGAAGCATCAGACACCTGTTCAGCCAAGAAACGAACCAGCACAAATGCAAACCTGTGGTTTGTGCCCATCTCTGACGAAGACTGAGAGATTTTCATAATCCCTTTTCAGTATTCCAAATAACATAATCTCTGCATAGAAGAAGAAACTGATACAAAGCTGATATTAGAAATGGCGGTGGGAGAGCACGTCAGCTTCCCAGGGCACTCTTTCATGCACATTAGAGTAGCCAATGTGTAGCAAAGAAACTTTAAAGGAAGATTAGAAGGACGGACTGCTGATTTACAGTACATCAGGAAATTCCCATCTATGATCAGAGGTTTGAACTGGGGTAGCCATTTCTTATCACACCACATAAAGAAAAGGTGGGGCTACCTTTGAGATGGATGTGGAAGCTTCAGATGGTGCAGAATGCAGCAGCCGGACTACATACTGGAATAAGAAAATACCAGCATATCTCTCCCATTCTGGCTGCCTTGCATTGGCTGCCCTTCGTTTCCGCATTGATTTAAGAGTGTTAATGATTACATACAAAGCCCTAAACAGTTTAGGACCTTGATACTTAGCGGAACGCCTTCTCCCACCTAGATCTAATTGAGTCACTGGCTATAGCCAGGAAAGATGGCTGAGGGGGCTAACGCTGAGAGAGGTCCAAAAAGGAAGAACAAGAAATTGGGCCTTCTCAGCAGTGGCCCCTCGACTCTGGAGCAGCTTGCCATAAGAGAGCTGCCTGGCACCCTCACTGGGTGTCTTTAAGAACCAATTAAACATTTGGCTCTTTAGGCAGGCCTTCCCTCCTACCAATACTTGACTTTTACTTTCTGCTTTGCCTTTTGCTTACTTTTCCATCTTGAATAACATTAATATTGTTGATTTAAATTATTGTTTTAACTGTTTTTATGTATGATTTTGATGTGAGCTGCCCTGAGTAGACACAGTCTAGAAGGGTGGGATAAAAATCTAATAATAATAAATAAAATAAATAAAATTTTAAAAAAGCAAAGTGTACTACTTATATACCACCCCATAGTGCTTCAAGCATTCTCAGGGTGGTTTACAAGTTAATTATGCAGGCTACACATTGCTGGGTACTCATTTTACTGACCTTGGAAGGATAGAAGGCTGAGTCAACCATGAGCCGGCTACCTGGGATTGAACCCCAGGTCGTGAGCACAGCTTTAGTTGCAGTACAGCAGTTTAACCACTGTACCACAAGGCTCTTCTTAATTGGTTTGATACATGGATGTTTGTGTTATCAGCAGTAGCTGGGTGAATGGCAATTGTTAATAATGCAGTTGTCTGTTTCAGTATTTAATGCATTTAATTTTCTTGACCTCACTTCTGTAATCTCACCCCAGCTGTGTGTCCTGAATATATGAATCTCAAATTCTCAATAACACTTCACCAATCTGTTTAAATGGGTTACAGTCCACCAAACCTCATGACAGATTAAGTTAGTCCTTAAGGGGCATAGAGCTGTTTGCTGGTTCTGGTGCAACAGAGCCTTTCAAAATTGCAGTTCTTGTTCATACGTTTTTGTATGGGCAGTGCAAGAGTGATTTGTGATGCCTAATGGGCAGAGATTGGGCCAGGGCTCCAGGCAAGAAAATGTAGCATTCAGCAATGACATTACTGAAAGTTTATTGACCTCTAGAATGTTCATAGTAATGTTGGATTGCTTTATCCCTCTTCTCTCTGAACATGTTATCTGTGCAATAGATCATTACCGGAAAGAATTGAAATAAACCCAAGATTCCCAATTATTCCATGGAAACCATGTCCCTTCCTGTATTCTGTTCTTCTTTGTGTGGAAGAGTAATGCTAAGCAAAAGCAAAGTGTGCTGCTTATCTAATGCACCATACTGCTTCAGGCACTCTCTGAGCAATTTACAATATACAGTACGCATTGCTATCTCCCACCCTCCACAAGCTGGGTATTTAATTTACTAATCTTGGAAGTATAGAAGGCTGAGTCAGTATCAAGCTGGCTACCTGAGCCCATTGGGATCGAACTCAGGTCAAGAACAGAGTCTTGACTGTAGGACTGCAGTGTAATCTCTCCATCACAAGGCTCCTGGTTTCCCATCCCTCTCCATTATGTTATACGTAGATTGCTTTAGCAGTTGACCCCCACCCCCACCCTGCCATGCTTTGTGCAGCTTAGTGCTAAATGAGTGTGGATCTTACTGGAGTTTCTGTCTGCATATAATCTTAAATTCCACTTCTCTCTGCTTTAAGAAAGCAGCATCTTTTAAAGAAATGGTTCAAAAATAGATCCAAAACTTGAAACAGTTTGAAAATGATCTTTTGTGTGTGTGTGTGTGTGTGTGTGTGTTAGAGTAACACTATCACTGAAAACTTCCAATCAGCACCCTTTGCAGACAGAGGGGAACAGAAGCTCCATGTGGAGGAACCCTATGCAAACTGTTACATCTAGTGATTTCTAAATCTTCTTCTCCAAGTTCCCTTTTCTATGTAATTCCCAATTCTTTCGCTTCACATTGGCTTGACCTTTGTCTGGTTCCAACTCTCACAGAGACAAACAGATGTCATGCAATGAACCATGACGGCCTTTAATCATGCTCATGGCTAAACTGCCAAATGTCTAGATATTCTGGATAAACTCTCCCTAGAATCCTCTTTCTAGGCAGCTTTTCCTTCCATAATGTAAAATCAGGTCAGGAGTTATGAAAGTTGCAGTCTCTTTACAGGTGTTGTTCTTCTTCTGTGGAAAGGAATGCCTACCTTAGGGTTCTCAGCAGCTTTCCCCACCCACCAACTCACCCATCTTCTCCTACACAGCATGTTTTATTCGGATTTATGACCTTACCTTCATCACACTGGAGTCCCTTCCATCCTGAAGCACATGAACAGCCATATGGGTCAGGCAGGCAAAACACAAAAGATTTACAGCCTGATTTTTCTTTACACTGCTCTTGGCAAGCCCTCCCAAATGTATTCTCTGCGCAAGCTACAAAAAAGAGGAAATAACCATCAAGCTCAAGAACCATGCTCTACAGTACTTCCAATCTGAATATTCATACTCTAGCTGTGAAAATCCTCATAACTTGTTAGAAACCCCCCCACCCCCAATTCTAAACGTGTCCAACTTTGAAGCAATGGAAGAATAAAACCCATTTGAAACTGGTTGTCTTCAACAAAACCTGTTATAACATAACCTTGTTTTGTGGGCAGAAGACATTTGGGCAAAAATTTGCATACTTTTAATGGGTTGCTATGAAGCTTGCCAGTGAGACCAAAACAAGAAATAAAATAAATTGAAGGCTTGAATAATGTATGAACACTGTAAGATATATAAAAAATGTCATGTGAGAGGTTCATAAAGTTGCACTGGGAACTGAATATTTTATAAAAGGACTCAATATCCACAAATTCTTAAAAACACATGTACGTGTCACCGAAGACTTGTTTTCAGGAAACATGGTCTTTGAACTCTCCTCTAAACAGAAAATGATTTGCTTTTCCTCAGAGGGAGGGAGCCCAACATTTCTGCCTGGGGACTCCAGGTCCCTGATATCTGGCAGGTGATGAAGCGTGTCATGTGGAGGCATGCAGGCTCATAAATATATGAAAAGGTTTGTTCTTACCCTTCTCACATGTTTTCCCCATAAAACCTGGTGGGCAAATGCATTCCCCACTATCTTCGTGGCAGGCCCCATTGTTCTTGCACGCTGGACAAGGAGAATTACACTCAGGTCCCCATTTGCCAGCTTCACACCCTTCAAGCAAAAGTAGAATAAGAAATGGTGAGCTTAAACAATAAAGATATTCTGAATCAAATACACATGGGTTTTAAATGTGTGGCCTATCAAAGCTTCCAAGAGTGTTTTTCAAAAACACTAGGAGTGCCATAAAAATGTATTTCTGAAAGAAAATCCATATGTCACAAACAAAAGATGGGCCTGCCAGCTGGATTCCACCTGCCAGGTCAGTTCTTCTGCCCCAAGAGAAGACGGACACACTCACCCACACCCACAGATCTCTCAGAAAGGAGAAGCCAGAGCTCAGTCAGTTTTCTTCCTCTCTTTTTGACCTAGGAGATAGATAGATATATCTTAGGTCAGAAAGAGAGGAAGAATATATGTCCCTCCATCATACTGAGGAACCACTCCTTCAAATGATGGAAACTACCTGTTTGTCACCTCATGTGGTTTTGCTCACTAGCTTATCTTCCATTTAGTATGCATTGTTTAGTGATTGGTGACTGGAAGGTAAACATAGAGTTAATTTGCAAGTCTCTTCATTGAGTCATGTATCTCTGACGACATCCCATTTTGGGAGAAAATTGGTTCATCACGATGAAGATGCATTGTGGCCTTATGTTTGCCCTTGAGTTCTCTTGACTTCTTCCAGCTATCCCCCAGTTACAGAAGATGTAGCAGCAGCATTAGTACTGTAACAGTGGTTCCTTCACGGACAGGCTGAGTCACTTTGCCCAATACCAGAGAACATTACAGGGTCCCAAATCAAATCATGCACTTGTCCTGGGTTGGGGGCTGCAGCAGTCCTGGTGCCTCTGTCACTAACAATGCTAGTATGCCTTTAAATATATTATTGGGGAACATTAGGAAGCAACCAGGAGCAACTGTATTAATGTCTTGCCTGTAGACTTCCCAGAGACATCTGGTTAGCTGTTTTAAGCAGAGCATGCTAGACTAGAGAGGCCTTTGGTCAGCTACAACAGGCCTTTTCTTATGCTCACCTGCATGATGCTCCCTAGTTCCTTTGCCCTTCTAGGAGAACATTCTTTTCAGTAAATAGCATGTTTGAGAGGAAAAAACAGCTGGGAGGATATTATTTGATCTGGACTCTGCCTTTATTCAAAACTATGGGACTCAGATAATACAGTATTAGAAGAGAGGATTCCTTAAGTCCTGGGAATGCCTGATTATTACAACATAAGCTTTTTAAGCCTCCCATATTCTGCAAATTTGCTAGCATAGTTTCAGTGATACATCCCTGGGAGGAAAGCATGGGCTTGGTTGTGCATGTATGAATGCTCAGCCGCAAAGCTGAACCAAGGCTGGGATCACAGGAGCATATGGCCCACAGTTTAGACCACTTGTGGTACAGCCCAGTGCGAGCTATTTCCTGGTGGTCACACAACACAGGGAGAATAGCATTCCAGCTTGACCTTGATCCATGTGCAAGCTGGACCTTTTTGGTCCAGCAGTAGGGCTACCATTTTGGGGGGCTGGGCTGGCATGATTGCTCCCAGCAAGGACCCTTTCTGGTGCAATCAGACGCCATCTGATCACACCCCAAGTCTCTGGAAAAGATTTCCCACTTCAAAGGATGTTCTATTAGTAACATACAGTTTGGAGCTGAATAAAAAGGTAGTTTCTTGTCAGAGAAAGAACAATTGGAGGTTATCAGCCAAGCTTTACTCAATAAGGAGTTTTATAGCACAGAAGCAGCCGCCAAGAAAACACTCTCTGATATCCCTACCAAATATGATCTGAGGCTGGTGACACAGACAGAAGGACTTTCCATCATAGGCAGCCCATGGCCCATGTGAAGGGAGCCAGCCTCAAATGCTTGGGATGAGGCTAACCCTCCCCCTCAGACCAGGAGCCACCCCTGCTTTCCCCTAAAATCCCCTAAAATCTCAAAGCCTGAGCAGCCCAATATAGGAGAATTTTCAGAGGCAAACCTAGTATAAGCTCCTGATTTGGATCACCAGCAAGTTCTAGATCTAGACTCTTGGCCTGTTTTTGTTTTTCTTCAAAATAAAAGTGGCCTATTCATCTATGCTTTTTTAGAAGTACTGTATGAACATTTAAGTTTGCCATAGGAAGGGAGGAGGAGGAGGCACAGTAGGTGAAATCCAGTAGTAAGTCACAACTAGAGTAGGCCAATTGACTCAGGGGAAAGTGGATAGGTGCTGACTCACCAAATACACACTGTTTCAGTGGGCCTACTCTAGTTGAAACTTATTACTGGGTTTCAGCTAGTAAGTCATTCTGTTTTCAGCACAACCATAGGGAAGTTATGACACTCTCTGGAGTAAATGTCAGAAGGGCACAAGGATGCCGACGGGTCCAAGGATCCCTTCTTCTACTTTGAACTTAAGAAAAAGGTCAACTCTTACTTCGTACAATGAGCCTTGTGTAGGCTGCAGTGAAATGGCTTCCTCCTATGTATCTGGCAGAGTAAACCCCTGCATCTTGAAGGCTGACCCCAGAAAGAGGCACTTTCAGCAATTCTGGAACTTCATGCCTGAGGACAGAATATATGAAAGTACCTGTAGTGGAGAGAAGAGCTTATCAAATTACATTGGTAACCAATCTATTTATTATCCCTTAGGGCAGTGGGATAAGTGGAGACCAGGAACTGGGCAGGTAAAGTGGTGACTCAATCACAGCCCAGTCATTTCCCTCTGTACAAGATATATTACAGCCCTTCCATAGCAGTGGCAGCTACTAATTTGTTGGGAGGTTTTAGGGTAGCTTTAGTCCTAAGTAGTACATCTGAAGCACTCCAAAACCATTTCCATGAGTTTTGATACAGTGAGTTTTTAAGGATTCCAGATTAAAGAAGAGGGAAATAAGTTTTTGTTTTGAAGGAAGGACACCAAAGCACTTCATTGCCTTCAACGCAATACTTTTATCAACATAACCTTTTCAGGTGTACACATTGGCTGAAATCCTATTGCTTAGCATAGTAAGCCACACTAGAATAGGCCCATTGAATCAGTGGGGATTTGGTGAGTCAAACCCTCTAGAATTACCATTGATTCAGATGGGCCTACTATAATTCTGATTTACCTCAGTAGAATAAGTAACTAGAGTAGGCCTATCTGAATCAATGGAATGTATGGACGATTTGAATCACTGAATCCCCACAGATTCATTGGGCCTACTCTAGTGCAATTTACTATTGCAGAGGTCCAGTACTGATACATACTTGGCAATAGGTTAGTGACAGATGGTCTACCAAACAGTTAAGGGCCCACACCTGTCTTTTCACAGCACAGAACACGTGCTGAAGGCATTGTTTATTTATTTATTTATTTATTTATTTATTTATTTATTTATTCATTCATTCATTCATTCATTCATTCATTCATTCATTCATTCATTCATTCATTCATTCATTCCATTTATACCCCGCCTATCTGTTCAATGCGAACACTCTAGGCGGCTATTAACCAGAGAGGAGAGAAGGAAGGATAGGTACCATTTTTGTAGATGACTGCGTCTTCCTCCTTAACGACCTTTCTGACAAAGGGAATGCTGACATCTTCTCCCTTGTTCGCTGTAATAGTTAAGGCCACTGGAAGAAATGAAGCTAAGAAGGAAAAAGGAAAGAGAGAGAGAGAAATATGGATTACCAGTAGTAGACAGTACTTCTTTAGGCCACTGGAAGAAATGAAGCTAACAAGGAAAAAGGAGAGAGAGAGAGATGGATTACCAGTAGTAGACAGTACTTCTTTATGAATACTTCTGAGCAGAAGTAGACACATATCATGGAAGACAAAATACAGATGTGTTGTCAAAAATTTGAAATACCTATAAGCTCAACCATTATTTAAATTTATTGTGAAACCTCACATAAAACAAGAACAAAATGGGAAGTAGCAACATTGGACTATGTGGAAGGCATCACCTTGGAGGTAATTTTATAAACTAGTCAAAATCCTGTATGATCACTGGAACTGTTCAAAATCAATCTTGTTTTTAAAATAGTAAAATTTACATTATTTATGTAATAATTTATTACAAAATAATTTATTAATAAAAATTAAAATGACTTATAATTTATAAATAAATTTATGTACTAAATTATTTTACGTTTACTGCATGTAATCCTGCATCTCTTTTTTGCCTTCCCGGGTTTTCCAACCATCTACTCCACAGCCCACCTCCTTTTTCACAAGTTGTTTAGTTTATCCATTAACTCCTCCTCAGTTCACAGTATTGTTAGAATGGAAAGGAATCCACGTTCTCTTGTGGGCTCAGTTCCAATGTATTTTTAGCTCATGGCCTATATTTAAGGAATTCATTTGCTCACAAATAGCCTGGAAGCACTATTCAGAAAGGAACAATAACTGGGCTTTGCAGAAGTGAATGTTTGCATCACATGTTGATTAATATCTTAGACCAGGATCCAAAATTTCCTCGGGGTATAAACAGGGACTTCTATAGGCACCATAGGTGTTCCACTGGAGCTGGTTTCCCAAACCTCCTTCCCTCGTATCTTGAAGCCTGTCTCAAAACAGACACCCTGCCCCAGGTATCAAAAGCAACTTGCTAGGTGCCATGATGACTTAAATGTCAAAGATATTTCAGATATATTTGCGAAGGGTTTCATGGCCAGGATCTAATGGTTGTTCTGGGTTTTTCGGGCTCTTTGGCTGTGTTCTGAAGCTTGTTCTTCCTAATGTTTCGCCAGTCTCTGTGGCCGGCATCTTCAGAGGACAGCATTCCAAAGTATAAGTTGAGGACTCAACTAAACAAACTTTTAAAACAGCGATTCTGTCTGGGAATTTCTGCCTGAAAAACATGTACCGTGTCATACAGCCATGGCCCATCTCCCAGAACTTAGTAAGTTGATTTGTCAATTAATTAACTATCGTTATAGTTTCAAACCCCAAAAGCAGTTAATTGCCATTATAGTTAGATTTTATAAAACTGTTTACGTTTTTCAAAAGAAACTAAAAGAGATACTTTTAGCTGTTTTTTGGGGGGGAGCATCTAAATGCTATTGGCCTCTACCCTTGATATATTCCTTTTATCCATCTGGTAGTTCCCCCAAAACTCACAACTAAGCATGAAGCTGTGGGATGATGCACACCTTAAGGCAGCACTTGAACCACGTGATGTTGCACCTCCACAATTTAGGGAGTCCATGTATGGCCATAACTATAAAAGTAATTTAAAGGTGCTCTTACTCCACACAAGGAGTAAAGATGTTGCATTCAGAACTTGGAAAGTTAGTTTTTAAAAGAATGGCTTATAATGACATAGTAAATCCACCATAACTGCACAGTGATAGGCTGATGCTCAGGCTCATAGAAAATCATCCTCCCTCTGCTCACTTATGGATAGCTTCAATATGCTATTATAGCCATTCATCTTAAAGGTAACTTTCCAAGCTCTGCTTAAGTTGCAGTCCTAGTACAATGGAGCTATATTTCGCAAAAGGAACTGATTACCAATAACTAGGTGTGTGTAGTAATTACTTCTAAGGTCACTACCTAGGCTGTGGTCACTACCTAGGATCCCACTTTCCTTCCTAATCAACTGCAATGAGGGTGCATAGCAGAACAGTGAAGGGAAACTCTGTATAATCTTTGGCTGCTTCT